CTCTATTAATTTATATTCTTGTACGAAGTTGTTTGCTACATGTGGTTTGTAAAGGATAACATTACTGCAAACTAATTGATTCGTATTTCTATGATGGAAAGTAGTAATGCACATTAGGTGTTGTAGTTACCAGTAATCATAATCAAGGAGTTATGTAAGGGTAATAAAGTCGATAATTAATTGCGTGATCATTCAAAATGGTAAGAAATAGAATCAAACTAATATATAAACATCAATAAAATCATATGAAGTAAAAACTCGAAGAAAAGATGGTTTAAAAATTAATCAAGGTTATTTGATTAACATATAGTCATCATCCCAGAGAAAGGCTAATCACATTTTCCTTCTGTAAACATAGGTCAGGTCGGAAACATCCAATAGCGATTGCTTCTACAAAGTGAAGTAAGATTGATGTTGCTTCTGTTAATTATTTCAAATCCACTTCTCTTATCCACTTCTGTTATCTAATAGTCGCTTGGCAGTTGCACTTATGAAGACTTACTGTCCTTCAGGCATAAGTTCGTAGGGACATGTTCAGAAAACATAGTAGAAGCCCCTATCTCTGTTCTTCCTATATACTTGCTACCTCAGGCACATGTAAATTCAGAGATCCGATTGGCGATGACATTGGGAGGGTATTGATCTACCTTTGAATGGTATAACAAATACAGTGTTGTACATTGAAACCAATTGAGCAGCAGGAGAGTTTATTTTTACTATCATTTTGATACTTTAATCGATTGTTTCCTTTTTTTCACATATTTCTAACAAACTACTTTCAAAGCAGACTATTTGTATTATAACGTTCCTTCGTCAGAATTTTGTAAGAGGTCAGCATTGTTTGACCGAGATTTTTACTTTGGGTTTTTCTCATAATTATATTAGGGCGAAAACTGCATTCATTATTTGTATAAACTTCAAAAGCTAAAGTAATATTTAATTAGTCTTAAATTGCTCTATATACATATTTATTTCCTTTCGATCGATTTACTTCTTCGAATACATTCATAGATTTAAGAAATCTTTTTCGGTTGCTATCTCCGAATAATCTTTGTAACGAACTGTTACATTGTTTTGGCGAATATGTTCGAACCAGTATTTTAGAAGCTATTTCCAACCTTCCAAAAGACTCTTCAGTAAGTTAAAAATATTTTATTTCCATCGACTATTATAACTAGTGGTGTACTTAAGCCTGCTATCCCTCTTGGCGCTGACAGACAGACATCAACATATAGCCCTTCACAGATATGTGTTGGTCCAAGTTGCCTTACCTCATTAGCACGATAAGATAAACATATCGAGATAAATGACAAAATAAATCAATATAGTGCAGTAATAATAATGATGAGAACGACTGAACTTTTGAAATATTGAATTTAATGATAGGGTGGAAAGGTATGTATGAAGGAATGCTGGGATTCAAGATCGACAGGAAAATGAGGAAGAAATGCATCTGCACCATTGTGAAAGATTTTGAGCCATATAATCCAACATCTCTAGTCACTGATTTCGGCTATCTCTCTTACCTAAACCAGGTAGCTTTTATCTGGCGTATGAACCTATTGTTGGTCACCGCCTAATATAGGACTGCAACTGACGTTTCTCCACTGCCTTGTGGATCAGACCTTTAAGTCGAAGGTTCCGGGTGTGGCCCCCTAAGAGAGCTACCTGCTTCAGTCTGGGCACCCGGGCAATATAACAGCCTACACACAAATCAAGTGACTTGTGTTGGGCATATGTATTCGATGCCCCTTTGTACCAATATTTATGTGTTCAAATAAAAAAACTGGTACGGCCGAGAGTGGGGAGAGTCCGCTCTCCCTCTCGAAATACTCTCACACGGCCGCGCGTATACAGCCTCTGCCAGGGAAGTCCTACTCATTGCCTTCTCGTGGCGGGGGTGTTGTTTACGAAAATGAGAGGACGAAAAGCGAATGTCCGGCGCTTTAACCGGATTCAAAACCAATGGTGCACATGGGCTCCAGTATCCTGCGGGAACAAATGGCGTATGAACCAATTGTTGGTCACCGGCTTCCATGGGACTGCATCTCCTTACGATGCTCCACTGCCTTGTGGATCAGACCTTCAGGTCGAAGGCTCGGGGTGTGGCCCCCTAAGATAACCACCTGCTTCGATTTGGGCACCCGGGCAGTATCACAGCCCTCACACATATGGAATGAGATTTGTGTGGCGCATATGTATTTGATGCCTCTTTGTACCATTATGTATGTGTTGAAATAAAAAATAAAGGCAGACAATCTGTCTACGTAACAACTAGCTCAAGTTAGCAAACGCCAACTGGGCTTTCTGGGTTTGTGCCGAGATTTCGTCAGATACCAACTCACCAGGGTTAGCGTACTCAATTACTTCACTCTCTACAACTAGCCTTGATAAAAACCAGCCCTGAAACAATATTGGCATCAGCCACTGACCAGAGGTCTGCAATTAAGTGTGTATTGGGCTTTTCTTTCCAGTCGTTAGTTTAACTAATGTAGTATCTAAAATACTAGCCTCGATAATTATCAGACGCTTAACTAAGACTCGTAAACTGCAAACACGAGAGAATCAAGCTGGCTTCAGACCTGGTCGTGACTGCATCGACCATATATTCACCATTCGTCAGGTTCTAGAACATAGGCATACTTATCTGCGTCCGACAATGGTGGTCTTTCTTGACTTAAAAGCAGCATTTGACTCGGTAGACCGCGAGATTCTGTGGCAGTGTCTGTCACTGAAAGGCATACCTCAGAAGTACATAAACCTTGTGGAGGCTCTTTACTCGAACACCACCAGTCGAGTCAGAGCTTATGGCGAACTGTCATCTGCTTTTGCAACCTCAAGTGGTGTCCGTCGAGGCTGTCCACTTTCTCCATTTTTGTTTAACTTCATCATAGACCTATTGATGGAAATAACATTCTCGTCTACTGAACTCTCGGGTATTGATCTCCATCCAGGAGGTCCACTTATCGACTTAGAATACGCAGATGACATAGTCCTGTTTGGTGAAGACGCTGATAAAATGCAGAGTCTTTCGGTAGCACTAAGCAACAATGCCAGAATGTTTGGAATGCGCTTCTCTCCCTCTAAATGCAAGTTGTTGCTTCAGGACTGGTCTGCGTCAACACCTGAACTAAGGATAGGGAGTGAAGCAGTCGAACGCGTTGATAACTTCACTTATCTTGGAAGTCTGATCAGCCCTAATGGGTTGGTGTCTGACGAAATCTCAGCACGGATTCGATAAGCTCGTTTGGCTTTTGCCAACTTACGTCGCCTATGGCGAAGGCGAGATATCCGTCTATCAATAAAAGGACGAGTATACTGCGCGGCAGTCCGTTCTGTTTTAATTTACGGCAGCGAAACATGGCCATTAAGAGTAGAAGACACTCTTAAGCTACTAGTATTCGACCACAGATGCCTTAGAAATATTGCTGGCATCTGCTGGGATCACCGGGTAAGTAATACTGAGGTTAGACACAGGGTGCGCCCTATCCGTTTCTAGAGTCTTTTCCTAGTTTACTCAGCTGGTAGTTGTTTGCCATAGTAGGTCATTGCCATTTTTTTCTAACTGGTGGGTCTGGAGTATCTTGTGTAGACATCTATTTATAAATGCCTGTACATTTTGGTAATGGTTGTGGTAGTTTAGTTCCGTCTTATAGAACTGTTTTAATGTTTGCGCTAAAGATTCTAACTTTGGTATTGTGTGAAAGTCCTTTTGAATTCTAGATTTTACTTGATTGTAATAATGTCGTCTTTGTTTCCCCCATTCGTGCCTTCATATGCACATCAGGACCTTCTCAGGTATATAAAGGCTTCTACCTCTTTCAGAGCTTCCACGGTGTTTAATGTATTCGATGCTTTTTCTAAGATATACTAGTCTTCATAATCCATTCAATAGCTAGCAGAAAAGGAAAGTGCACGATTAAGGAGCCTTGTCTGACATCAATCTTCACTTGAAGTGCATCCATGTGCATGCTACTTCAGATACCTATCTGATTATCTAAAAGTCAGTCGGTTCGAAAACACTAATCAGTCACTCTCCACTTTCGCCTACGCAACACTTCTCATGAAGTTTGTTCGTAAGACTTCCCCCTTGAAAAAATCTCATTTGTTTTCGTCCCATCACTGGCCTTCGACTGACTGCCAATTTAATTCGTTTTATGTTGTCAGTTTTTTTAAAACTTGGTATTGACAGTTACTTTTCTATTTTACTTCGAAACAAAGCTAACACAGGTTCATTTTGCTGAGAGTCTCTTAAATCTCCGAAGTAGATTTTTGGAGTATATTGATGATGTTTTTGATGGGAAAACTGGTTTCCGTAATCAAATGGATAAAGCCTTTAATTTGGCTGTGAATAGTCGTGTACCTTCTTCAAGTATTCTAGCCACAACATCTAAGTGAGTATTTATACGCTACTTTATTATTTGCTTTTTTGATCATACAGAAATAGCTTATCAACGGTTTTTTTTCAAAAATTCAAGTGCCTTTTCCAAAAACCACTATCGGTAAAGATGTAATTTATCACCGATACCATGTAATCAAAAAATCTATTTTATCAAAATCTTAGGTTATTTAGACATTTTTTAAAAGTGAGTGGTATATTAAACTTATAGCAGCTCACGTGCAATTGAGTTTGTTCATATTTAATTCGGTTAAGCCTTTTTGTTAACTTATTTAACGGACAGAGCCATCCGTACAATAACAACTTATCTATACCATTGTACCTTTAGTATTGTTGCGCTTGTATTAATATGTATGCTTTAGCATTGCTTACTGCCAACGCATATATTCATTCTGCTAGCATCACTGTTAGTCGCTTAATTGATTCGGTGATTAATTCATTTCACTATGTATACATATGTACATTTTAGTCCTGTTCATTGACTCGCCGACTCGCACGCTCACTTGGTTGCCAGTTTGCTTTTCGGCACTACTCTTTCATGCTTGGTTAACGCACCTGTAATTTTGATTATCTGTGCGTTGTGCAATAATAAACGTAATCAATACTTCGTATTCGCCTTCTGATTAATACACCGATAGGACGCTATCAATAAACGGTTATCAGAACGAAATGTGTACGAAGTTTAAAGATTATATTGAATACCGACCACCACAAACTCATTGTTGACATTAGCTTCATTATGCGACAAACAAACACGTGAACAAACCTTTAGGTTAATTTTGCCGAATTCATCCAACTATGTTTCAATGATAGGTCTGTATTTGATCATTCCATCTAATTGAAATCGAATCTTAGTGGAAAGTGTTCTAATGCTTTATGTATTGCTTTCTCAGCTATTCATATTGGGACGTAAATCATACTTATTATTGTCAGTATGAGATTGTGGATGTTGTTGAATGTACATTTAAATCACGAGCCGATCCAAACTGGAAAAGCCGTTAAAGGCTGCTGAAAGTACTGGACATCTGTCTCATCCTAGTGCAAGTTGTGGGGTCGTAAATGCTCACTACTAAAGAGTCCCATATTAAGGTGAAACGGTCGTTCAATACCCCCATACTTTCAATGGTTACTTAACTTCAGTCAATGCGTGATTTCAATATTGAATGTTTAATACAAAATTACAGATTGGTCATTTAAAAAACCAAACCAGTTCCCATTAATTTTATTCAACTATTCAATTCTGATCTGATTAAGATTGATTGATAACTAATATAATGTAAAACTGTATTACTCTTTGGGTGACAATGCAATTTTAAAAACTAAAATTATCCACAATTTTTTTTACAATAATCATAAATACATAAGCCTGGCGTAATAAAATGTGTTTGTTAATATAAATGGTCGACAATTGTGAAAATCGTCTTCTTTGTTTTGATTTCTACTATTTACTTTCCATAGTACAGATAATGTCTTCTCAAGTTAGTTCTTAAAATGTCATTTTCAATAGGTCATTAACAAATTATATTTTAAATAATTCATTTCTAACAAAGTAGATCTAGCGTCTTAAAGATCCATTAATAACGTGTAGTGTAAAAATCACTACTATTTACTAGTCCACAAAAATGGCATCAAACTTAAATGCTCTGATCTGCTGTTATGAATTCTCTTATTACGACCCAGCTACTCTTATTGCTTAGTTATCTTGGACACTACTTCACTCGACAAGTCCCCAAATCAGAACACGGCTAAACAGGAATGTAATTATATTTCAAATAACAAGGTCGGATGGGAGTAGGGATCATGATAAGAAAAACGTTAGTATAATTATAATTTTTAGATAAAGCTAAAAAACTATCGAAAATGTCATAAATCATACTGACTAAACAAAATATACCATATATTCCAATCGTTTTAAAAGTAAATAGCCGATAAAGATTATGTATATTTCTTAAAAAGTAGATTGACTACTTCTTGGTATGTAGTTCATAAATATTGGATTCTTTCATTAAGGTTACATGAATCAATGTGTTCTCAAAAGGTACAATATATCTGACAGTCATATAGTATTTATCTATTGAATAAATCTTATAAATTTTAATTACTACTTGCTTCAAATGGTTTAGAATTTTTATCATTTATTGGATACATTTGCAGACAAACTAATTACAGACCATCTGAATTGTTATGTCGATACATGGATTCCTTATTACGTAAATCTGTCAAAACTATGACTGTTTCAGAAATTGAAACTAAGCTGACAGCGTCAATTGCTATTTTCAAGTATATTGATGATAAAGATCTTTTCCAAAAGGTGAGTAGTCTATTCTCCTTAATATTTTAAACTACTTAAGTAGGTTTTACTCACAGGCTATTAAAACTCAGAAATAACGGATCAAAACTTGTTTCAAACTTTTTATCTGTCGACTTTCTCATCTGTAATTATCATCCATATAAAAATGTACAATATCATTATCTCAAATTTATACCTTCTGTGAATTTGTAGTACTTAGTGATGAATATTTATTCTTGATCTTAGTTTCATTTTATATCACATCTTACAATCTTATCTTACAGATGTACGCTAAAACTAGGGTATCCTATGAAACATCCTTACTAAAATCGAACAAAAAGAACTAAGCTAGGGCAAGATTTGTTTGAGCGTTCCGAGTTACATTCCCATAACACGGATATACACATAAAAATATCCTTCGTCAAAACTTCTAGAAGTAGCCCAGAAAATTTTTATCCAGTCAGCATTAAATAGAAGCTTCTGAAAGATTAAGGGTCATGTTTTTGGTTCGGTAATTACCTATTCTGTTACCAAATTTAGTGTGCTTGCAGGAGGTTCTGAAAGCATGATTTCATATACAAATTTATAAATACCTTCGATTTTCTGCGCACAAACTAACCTCCTACTCAAATTTCACGCCTTTTCTCCATTATTCAAGTTGACGTCTAGGAGTATTTTAGGAAGCGGTCAGAAAGGCAGTAATAAAAGGTTCCAGTAACGAACTTTTAAAGAGTTGATTGGAGGAAGAATAGGAATATTCAAAAACAGGGAATAGCTTTACCACATGAAGTCACTGAGTATTAGTGTATGTCATTTCTAGAACTTCGAATTCCCTAGTTAAGTTGAACAGAATAATTGTCATCTACTAATAAGGACCCACATATCATGACTTTGAGTTAATGGTATTGAGGTAAATGTACGCATTTATTGTTTTTCTCTAAATCTTGAGGATAGTATCACTACGTATCTCTAATATCCATTTTAATCTTCTGGTTATGAATTATATTTCTTATTATAAGTATGAGGGGACTCGTGAAGACTTTAGAATTCTCAGTTTAAAATCACTAACTAGTCTTATCTAGATCATGATTAAAAACCTAGAAACACTTTACGGTTGTTTCATCCTGACATGGGACTGCTTAGCAGTGTGCATCCACGACCCCGCATCCGGAAATCAAACCCACGATGTTCATCTCGCGCACAGACGTCTAAACTCTAGCCCACTGAACCGCTATCCAACGGTTTCAATGTCTAACTTTAACCTATTCGCGATATTATATAGCCTTCATCCATTGTTCGTGGTGAATAACTGTCTCACACTCAACACGTTTCGAACTCTGTTGGTCACGGCTTGACACTAGAACTCCGGCATTTAAATCTTGAAGCTAATCATTAGTAAGCACATGTTTACTGTTATTATAGAGGATTTGTGAAGATTGTAAAATGTTTCTCATGTTTAGTTGTTATTATCATTATCCATATCACTTTCTTCATCTTCTTGTATTGTGCTGTTAAGTGTAGTAACGTCGACTGTAATGCGTTTTTTAGATAAACTTAATTTTTATTTATCATAGTTGTTGATAATCCTCGAAATTGTAGTGTTCTCTAGAATTGTTGAATTACTAATTTATACTGTGAATAAAGAGATTAGAATTAATCTTCAATAATATTGATAACTTATGTTCATAATTATGATTACATTTTTCTTAGTATTATCAACGTATGCTGTGCAAAAGACTGGTGTTCAATTATTCTTCCTTGCTTGAACTTGAAGAATCTATGATTAATCAGCTAAAAACTGTTTGTGGATATGAATTTACTTCAAAATTTCAGCGTATGTTTAATGATGTTCAACTTAGTCCTGAGTTAAATCGGAAGTTTAATGAGTACTTACAATCAAGAGATATACGTTTTACCTTTGGTCATCATTTTCATGTTTTAACGGTAAGTAAACTCAATTTTATGTTAATAATTGTGATTAATTTTAAACAATATACCACACAATATCTTTTTCTTTAAAAAAAAGATATCTTGTCAGAGTAACTTAACTGATTAAGTTTTAGAAATATGCGGGTTTTGAGCTAACAAAGCGGGAAATACGAAGTATTGAGTTAATAGTGAAGACAATCAAAGAACCGATAAACTGAACAAATTTTCCGTTGTTGTAAAATCTAATATGTACGAACTTTGCTAAAAGTTCCATTGAAATCATGAACCAATCAATGCCTTGTTAAAAGAATAAATTCTTAACAATCCAACCTTTATGCTTAGAATAATCTGAACACTGACTAGCCCATATGCAAGCAACGCTCCGGAACAAATCCAAAAGTTGCTAATACATTATGTGATTCCCATATAAAATCGATTGTTTTTAATTCCGAAACTTTTTTAGGATACATTTTGTTTCCAAGTCATTCTTGCTACCAGTCGCGTTGAGTGTAATATATTGTTCAGAGAGTACTAGACAGGAAAGAACACATGATGATACAATTATCTAGACTAGTATGCTCAGATATGTGCTCATCCAATTATGTTCTATTCAATGGCAAATCTGATTTTTACAATATCTAACCTACTTGCTTCTGACAGTTAGTTCAATTATTCGGGGTAATAGCACATGAAACTGGTTGCATAATGGAACCAGTTCATACAATCATCGTATATGATCATGTCCAGCTAGTTATCTCTCTACCTTTGTAATTTTACTACTTAGTAAAAAAAATGTTATTCATTGAATGTTATTTACTTCAATGCCTTACAAGTTGTTTCAATTAAGAAATGTTTTATCTCTTAGAATATTCAAAATCTTCCACGAAAATTTATATCCAACTCCCTGATATCACGTTTTTAATAGCCTCGACCAACAAGGTTTTGTTGAGTAACGTACAAAGTGGCAACATAATTCACATTGTAACATATTATCGAAAACAGTACTGAGTAAACTTTTTTGTGATTATTTATCTTGATGATTGGGGAAAGAGAATTATCTGTGTTGATAAGGTGAATTCGGGGGTGGGGACGAGAAGGTATGAGTTTGTTCAGTAACTAGCGATTGCAATAATTTTATTCTATTCTGATCATATTACAGTTTTTGGATATGAAGTGTACATAAATGTTTCACTTATAAAATTTCGATTAATAATATCATATTTTCAATTAAAATTTTCACCATCGTCGGAAATCAATCACTCATGTAGTATTTCGTAACTAATAATGCATTCAACAGCAGAATACAAAGAAATTAAAGCAAATTTGTGATTGTATACAACTGACTGAACACTATTTATAGTCAGTTACTTTTAAAGTGACTAAACTTCTTATTAAATCACTTGGACTGTGATTGATCTACAGGACTGAGATGTTCCATTTAGCGTAAACATGTTTTAGCGCATTCTAATGATCAGATTTATTTTTTCGTATGAAATGAACCAATATTTCCACCTTATGTATATGTGATATAATTCCAAATTTATATTTTGTCCAATCAGTTTTGATTTGAGCAGCTTGACTATTGTCTAGAACCATGTAAGTACATATGGCAAATAAAGTATTCTTCAACTTCTGCCATACTAGATTAGTCCTAGTAGATCTTTATTTCATTTCCTTTTTCAGCAATGTTCGTGGCCAATTTCACTTAGTGGTGTTACTGATTTTTTACTCCCACTCGAATTGTATACATGTACTTACCATTTTGAAGAATTCTATACAGCCGCTCATCAAGGAAGAAAAATGAGATGGGCACATAGTTATTCAACAGTGGAACTCCAAGTGCTTTTCACTGATAAGACTTATCAAATACAAGCGCCTGCTATTAATGCTGCTATCCTACTATTTTTTGATCATATGGACTCAGATCGTATCAAAGTGAAAGATCTGCATTTCGGGCTACAACTAGCGGTATCTGAAGGTCGACCAACTATAAGTAGTGAAAATAACTCTACATCTAAACGAAGTGTTCCAACCACTGACTCTTCAATTACTGGTAAAATGGAAACTTGTTCACAAGATGTGTTGGATTCTTCATGTGAACTGGATCTTATTCAACGACTTTTGACACCACTAATTGAATTGAACATAATATATGTTGAAGCAACTGAAGGGCAAAGTAGTAATTCATCGGGTAACATCGTGACAGTAAGTTATTGATAGCATAATACATCTAACCACTTATATATTTGCGTAGATGGATAGCGTTATAGCCCTAAACCGTTCGTTTACAAGCAAACGTCTAAAGCTAAGGGTGAATTTCGGCTCTCAAGGAAAAGAATCAAACCAGGTTAGTTACTTTTATAAATGTATATGCTTCCACCTAAATTTATATAATTATTAACCTGACTACAATTAAAATGGTGAAGTAAAAGATGGGTGGCCCAAACTCCTTGCATATTGATAAGAAAATTGTATTTTTATTAAACTAAGTTCTGTTACAAAATCCCTGGAACAATATATTTATGATGACGAGTAAACCAAACGAAGATTAGCTTTTGATCATGTAACCGTAACAGGAAACAGATTAGTGGTTTGACTTGTGGGAATACTAGAATGTCCAAGCGGATACTTACAAATACTTTAGGATTTTATATATCCATTAATAGACAGCGCCATATTTGTGAAGTCTATTCGTAACAATTACATGCTAAGACTAGTATTCCCTTTACACACAAGGGCTAGAAAAATAGTAGACGATAACTTAATTTTATCAACACTTCCCATACTGTTTACATCACAAACTAGACCTAGGAAACCACTTGAAATTTGTTTCGTTCTAGCATGGGACTAGTAAGCAATGGCCATTCAGAACCCCGCTGAGAGTTGAACCCAGAATCTTCAGGTCTTGCGGCAAGAGCTGGCATCCAACAGCTCACATGACTAACTTTAGTCAATTAAGACACTGGTTCTGATAATAGTGATGCACTTAGTTTCCTTTCTTTCATCTCCGTCAACCAGACGTTCAACTCATTTTATTATTTTGCTTCTCTGCAGTTTCGAGATAAGTAACAAATCAATCTAATGCATTGTTTTGGTAACCTTTACGTAGTTTGTTATGAGATACATTTAATTAAGTATATGTTTGTAATACTAATTAAATCAGAAAGTGTGAGGTTCACTGAGCCTCTTAAAGCCATTGTTTCTAAGCAAATCCAAATTTGTTTTACTGTTTACTTTGCAGTCGGAAGCTGATCAGGTTGATCGTCAAGTGAACGAGGATCGGCGCTACTTCATACAAGCTGCTATTGTGCGAATTTTAAAAGCTCGAAGACAGATAAAGCATGCACAGCTTATTGAAACTATTTTACAGCAAGCATCTAACCGTTTCCAACCACCGATACCACTAATCAAGCGTTGCATTGAAGGTCTAATAGATACTGGCTATCTTGAACGAAATCCAGATGATCCTGATCAATACAGTTATCTTGCATAATTCCAAGTGCTTTATTTTTAATAAATTACAAATTTATTGGGATGCTGTAAATATCAATAAATAACACACTATAAGGGATTAAATTGCTCCTGTTTTGCCAAGTTGTTCTTTTAAAATCATAATGCTGCGTCGTTGATCCTCTGGTAAGAGAGCAAGTTGTTCGTCTGATAGCTGAAGAACTTGCATAATAAGTGTGACTTTTTCTTGTTCACCTTGTCCTGCTAGTAAACTATTGGGACCCATACTTGCAGCTGCCGCTGCAGCAATTGCAGGGGTAATCTGTTAAAATTATTTTAAAAAATAAGTAGAATTAACTAGAATATGTAACATGCGATTTTATGCATTTGTATATAAATCAGTTAATAATTGCATTCTCAAGAGACTATTTAAAGTAGGTGTTTACGAGAAGTCTATCTTATTGGTACTATTTAAAGGTGAAGTAGTTTAATATTATAAAGGTCATTATACATGATGGAAAGTTTTTTTAGCTTTACTTATACGTAGTTCAAAAGTGTATATGTACATGTTTATCTGGAGAAACTTGTGATTCTTACAATAAATTTAAATATACAGATAAAATACATTAATTAGTTGTTTAACGGAAAATCACACTGAGGGGCAATCAACCGAAGTAAGATATGTTTACCACATCTCACATTAGCACAGTAAGAGAGGGAATTAACAGGATGGAAATCACTTACGCAGTTCAAAGAGGACATTATCAAAAGATGAGTGTGACGAATGATACTTAACTTAAAATTTAAAGGGAGATGGAAGAATGCATCTGTGTTGCTGACATCGAATTTTGACCATACTATTCATATCTAACCAGAGTACGACTGTTGCGCTGCCTCCAACTAAGAAGTTCACAGCCAGTGACTTGGTCGGTTGGTATCGTGTCTTGACCTGCTTACTCTTAGCTTTTCTCCAACCTGCTATCCTGACCACTATCGGACATCGAAGTAGGGAGTGTCTAGGTATATATATTGCGTGTCCTAACCGCCTCGATCGGTGAAGAATTACAACTTCTTCAAAGTACACCTACTTACTCATAATAGTAATCAGATGATACAGTGCTGAGTCAATTACGGTTGCACCCCTAAGTTGTGTTATTCATAACTTTCACTCTGATCCTGGACGACATTTCTCATGTTTAGATTTACATTGGAGTTAAGACTGGTTTTCTTTTGCTTATGCTGTTAATTTATCCTCTAACTGTCCTGAAACGATGTGCAGCAACTTTGACTGACGTACGTCTGTCCCAGTTCCTATGTCGGTTATGACTTTTCTATCATCAACACAGTTCATTCCGTGAACAGGTCAAGCTGTTGAAAAGAGTACTCACCCATTAGTTAGTGAAAATCAAGAGAGTTTGTATCTGTCTTAAGATTTCAATAGCCACCAACTTACCAGGAGTGACGAGACTCCCAAGATTAGTGCTGTAGTGAGAGCTATTGATCACTCCTGATCAGCCCTGAATCAAGCTATTTGCATCTAAAGGGGAAGAACAATATCACAAACATTTGTGTTATCACTCAGTGTTTAGAAGGCTGCTTTTTGCCAGTGTCTACCAAACAGACTTATGGTCAGTCAGGTACAACGCAGGACCAGGCACGTATATGCATCTGTCCAAGTTGCCATACCTCATCAGCACAACAAGGTGAACACCAAATTCATAGAAGCAGTTACTTCAATGCTAGTAATATATGAATCATAAAATATTGCATAGAAAGATACGATACAGGGGGGGGGTTCGTAGGAAGGAAGACGTAAAGTAATTACAATTCAACGGTTTAAGGGAAGACAAAGAGTGTATACACCGACGGCATTGTGATCGAGCCGTGTCACCCAGAGTCTTCAACTACTGGTTACGATAGTTGCGCAGACCCCAACCAAGTAGTATGCATCTGCCAACATAATTAAGACCAGAAATTAATGACTTTATGGACTGATGCAACACGTTTCCAACACTTGTCAGCATTGCGCGACGTAGTAATCGGTGGTTAGCTGTGCGTAATACGAGGCTCGAACATCTCAGCTGATGAAGATTCACCTCATCAGCTGATTGACCATCGTCCCCTAATACCCTGTTGTCTAACCTCACCGGTGATCCCAGTAGATGCGAGCAATATTTCTAAGAAATCTGTGATCAAATACTAGTAACTTACGAGTATCCTCTACTCTCAATGGCCATGTTTTACAGCCTTAAAGTAAAACAGAACGGACTGCTGCGCAGTACACTTTCCTTGAATTGATAGACGGATATCTCACCATCATAGGTCACATAATTTGGCAAAAGTGAGCTTTCGAATCCGTGCTGAGATTTCGTCAGACACCAAATCATTAGGGCTGATCAGACTTCCAAGATAAGTGAAGTTGTCGATGCGTTCGACTACGTGACTTCCTACCCTTAGTTTAAGTGTTGACGCAAGTCAGTCCTGAAGCAATAATTTTTATTTAGAGGGAGAGAAACGCAGGCTGTCTTGGAATGGTGGGTAGTTATAGAGCAGTTGAACTGCTCCTTCAAGTGTAGCGCCCATCATTCTAAACGTTTGAACGGAGAGCAGATAAGAGTGTCGTCTTTTACTGATATTGTCTCACACTTGAGTTCTTAATCCCGGTTTCTTTTATTAGTCTCAAAAGCTGTCTTGTGTTACCTAAAGCCGCTGCCTTTTCAATCTCCCGCTTTTGTTGTCCACCACTGCTCGCGATCGTTTCGTAGTCTTTTGGTTGATTTAGATCTAATTTGTTTCCGCTCGTCATCGTGTTCGGAGCCTGACGGGATAAGTTCACGAGGGTATATCAGTGCAATAGACTTAGCAAAAATCCACTGGTTATTTGTGACCCTTTGGTTCATAACACTGATAGATGTCGCTGCTATTTCCATAGATGTTCGTATGACTTTCCAAGCAACATCTGGGTCAGCCTCGTTTTCAAAATCGCCGAAGTTTCATTTTAGTTCCTGGAATTTACTTTTGGCTTTTTCGTCGCTAAGTTCAACTCTAATTTGTCTTTTTAATGTGGCTTTTCTGTGTCCAGTGAGGCGCAAGTAGATGCGTACTCCTATTAGAGCATGATCAGAGTCTAAATATGTATTCCAAAACTAGCGGCAGCCTTCTAACGATCCTCTCGAACGACGACTGATGGCAATATGGTCTATTCGGTACATCTTTGGTTTGGTGCAGCCCCCGCCATGTTAGATGTCTCTCCTTATGCTTAAAATTAGCGCTTAGAAATAAACGCTTGCAGCAAACAGTCACCATTATTTATTTGTTGAACTGGAATACTGAAATACCCACCTAAATGTCTTTATGTTTGGTTTAAACTACCTACTTGGGCATTAGAGTCACCTGCTACAAGTACTATGTCTGAGTGTTTAGCTTTATCAAAAAGTTCAGGAAGCTTTCTGTAAAATTCATCTTTTACTTCATTCTGGCTGACGTCAGCGTAGGCAGAAATGACGAACTTGATGGAAAGTGATCTAAGATTACTGTCTACTCCGAAACACCTAACCTACTTGATGGTTTGTACATTGAAAAACTCTGACGTGTTATGCATCCTGAATCCCAGGATTTACAGTTTTTCCAACCTACTTCTGGGTTGAACATATACGGAGAGGTATTCAGTATTGGAAAGTAAGTGAGGATGAACTAGAAATTCTCTACAATTGTTTACGTACATAGTTCATTATCGGTACTGGTCTGTAACATTTAGTTAAGAAATTCTTACTTGAGCAGCGGGTGGTCTTTGAGGTCGGACGGCCATATTCGGAGGTCCATTGGGATTGAAATGTGGTTGTTGTCCTGACACAGCTGATGACTGTGTTTGACCCGATGGATAGTCAAAAGGCGGCTGGGATGGTGGAGCAACAGAATTAGGAGGAAACCCATTAGGTGGCATATTATTTGGATAAAACTTCTGTTGCACTAAAAATGTATGGACCAGAAATAGGAAACATGTAATGATATCCATAGATTAACACCATATAAATACATACTTGTAAAGAGCGTCAAATAACCAGTTAGTTCATGGCTTAGTAACAGAAAAGTTCTCAAAGAAAAAAACTACTGCACTATAGCAAATAATCTATTCACAAAAGTTATCACACATTTAGTACATCTGGTGACATTTTAACGTTCCATCCATCCAAGTCTATTTTGTGCTAAACGATCGCATGATCTTATCTTAAAAATTAATAACTTGGTACCACATGGCCTTGATGTTGAGATTTTCTCACGGGTTGATAGACTGCTTTGGGTTTCGAATCTTACTTTTGAAATACACCTCGGTAAATTATCTTGTCAAATTTTACTGCATAGAGCAATAATGATAGAATATCAAGATAAAATCAGCAGTTTAACGCAATGCTGACAACGTTTTGTGATGAAGATTTTTATGGTTGTTAATTGATTTCGACAATCTTGTGTACACTATTAGACGTATGTGGGCGGTCGACATTGATTCCCGGTAGGATATGAGAGCGTGATCCTAGAGCCTAAGGGACAACGACTTGAGACCGATCTCAAAGTCTTTTTGTTTGTATTAGCTCCACCTCTTTCGAGTCTTGCCAACATAAATCGAAGGAGAGAGTTAGTGTTATTTTTAAGGCCGATGTCTTCTAACCCATCCAGTTATTTGTAGGCAGCATTTCTAAAGATGCTGGGTGCCCGTGGAAAACGCCTTGTTGACACATCTTGATACAACTGACAGTACGAATGAGTCATAAGACTTTGGATTTGTCGCTTTCAATCTGGATACTATTCAACCAACCTGATTGGTATGTTATGGCCTCAAAGAACGATCAATCAGCGAATATGGTACGATTGAGTCGTCACGAAAGATAATCTCAATACCACCTCAAGATAACAACAATGGTAGTCTACTGACTACAAACGTTTACACTAGTGGGGTGGAGGCTACTCACAAGATTACTTGTAACTACTGTGTGGAGGAATGTGGGCTCAAAAACCGTCAGACAGAGAAGTCTCGGCACACCAAAGCACGAAGTAGACCGAACACTTGAAGACTAGAGGAGAAAACAGTTAGGATTGCAGAATACACGGTGAGATGAGAATGGATGATGGAAGGCTATATATATGTATGATATAAATACTGCAATTTCTCACAATAAACATTGGCTCCTTCTGCTCATTGCCTTGTTTTAGATTGGCTTCGGGGTTGGCGATTTTGATTAGCTTTTACGTAGTAAATGAATCCTACAATAACACAAAGACATGTGTCCAATAAATTGCACTTATTTCTGTTTTACTTACCCACAGTCAAACAGTTAGACATTGATGGCTTGTACGGAGATAAGTTGTACTAATTTTTATTAAGAACAGTAAGTGCATATTAGTTAAAAGTCTAAGTGACTATCAAAATTATCATCAATGTTGCACCTAATTTCAGGTCTACAGGACAAGCTGTGAACCACATGTGGAGAAATCTGAACACTTCACTTCTACTCGAAGTTTGTGCTGACGATATCGTCCAGAAGAACGACGAAAGCTCCGCGACAAAACTATCCAGCTCAGAGAACAAAACTCCATCAAAAACCTAATTTCAACGTTGAATTTTGAAAAGCAGATTGGTGGTTTACCTGTGATGTGAACTTTTTAGATCCTAATGTTCACTGTGACTGCTTATCGTAAAATCCACCTTTTTACGACAACGGTTAGTTGATAAATAAAAAATTTCCTGTTTCAACTAGATAGAGAGTAGTAACACAAACATTAGGGTAATCAGTTGCCCGCTGTACTCAACTACTGCATTCCCCATCGCCAAGGTATATTTGAAGAACGACTAGTAGTGCAAAATCGGAATGGAATCGATGTGCCTAGCAATTTGACGGGATTATATGCATGATCTTCATTTGGATTAAAATCATTCGTCACATTTCTTACAATCGAAGTTAGCAAAGATTTATGTCGGATGACGGTTACACAAAGATATGACATTATCCCTTGAGGTAGTTAGATATAAGTAACGTAGGACCTTGTACATATGTGGATCCGTCCAAGCTGATACACCACATCAGAAAAGGTGGAATTGCCAATGTGAATACCATAGTAATATCAACGGAAGTAGAGGAGATTAGACATACAAGTGATTAGAGGGTGAATTCTCAGGATAAAAGGTAAAAAATGGTTCTAAAACTCAAAATCTAGAGATACTTAAACAGTAAAAGGTTTTGCATCACTGAGACCGACTTTGATTAATGTCACCCAACGTCCCCAACTATTCCTCACGATAATCGAGCGGACACCCCAATTAGGCATTCCGCACTTACCAACATGGTTTAAGCCATGAAAACACCAGCTGTTAGTTTGAGACGTGTTCGGAGATACAGATCTCCTGGTCAGATTTCAAGTGACAATCAAAACTAATGGTTGAGGTTCTTAAGTGAAGATTTCTAATAAATCGCAATGATAAAGATGTACTCGTCCTTTGTTTTCTCCTAGACTAAGCTTCAATATTATTTCATACTTTACATCCCTTTATTTATTTGGTTGTTCTAAAACCATATTCTTGATATTTAGTTTCTGTAACTATTATTAATATTACTATCACTGTGACTTCTTTTTTCTATTTTGTTAACTGCTTTTTTCTTTCCACCGGTAAAAAGTGTGGGGCCTTCAACCAATGTACATCTGCCCCAGGTCTTGCCTATAAATGACTGATAAGTGACCCATCTAATCTGATGTTACGATCCGAATCTAAAGAGCGGAATCGTTTTGAGTCTTTACTTCTCTCTCTTTACTTCAACAAACACTTACTTCCTTGAGGTGCTTGACTTCTTTGTGGAACTTGTTCAACACCGAAATGGTTTGGATGTGGGACGGGTCCAGGTCCACCGTGATGTGGAAAGCCGGAGGGGGGCAAGTGAGACCCAGGTGAAGACATGGGCATCATATGATTTCCTGGAGTGTTAGGACCCACAGAAGATGGTGTCTGATTGATATGACCAGGAAAAGCCATAACTGGTGCTCTCATAGACATGTCTTCATCCGGCATAGCAGGGGGGATTTGGTCATGACTGCGATTTAACATAGCGATGGCAACTTTGGGATCGACAATCTTCATAACGATTTGAGCCTATGAAAGAAATGAAAGAAATAAGTAAAAGAACGTATTTTAATCCGATTATGTCGAAATGAAAATTGGATTCAGTAATCTGCACTTAGTCTGGTTCACTGTTTGTGATTTCACATTATTATTGTAAATTACAACTTTCTGCATTATTATTTTTTTTGGAGAACTCCATAAAACAAATGACTTTAGAAAGAACGTCAACTTTCGAGATTCAATTAGCGTCCCGTTACTTTACATAATATAACGATGTGATATATCGACTGCGTTACATAGCGAGAATAATACCGTTTACCGGGTTTATTGATGGGAGCTAAGTGCAAACATCGGGAATGAGTTTATGACATGTTAACTACTGATACGAATCAACGACACATCAAAAAACCCAAGTGCTAACTATAATTGTTTTAGCTCGAAGAAATGCAGTTAGTTCCTTTTCGATTATCGCACCACTTTATAGCTTTGGTTAGATCTGTGGGAGATAAACGGACAATAGTTAGCTAACAGTTAGTGGGGCGATCTAACCACATCTTAATTGATAAATTTATAGGATATGATGTAATGGTACGTTGGTTCGAATTTTCACACGTTCAAAAAATCCATAGGGAATACCTATTCAAGTTAAAAGAATAAGTGAAAAGACAACAATCAATAGTTTAGACCAAATGGATATACCAGTTCCAATCTAATTGGTTTTCAATCATATTGCTTGTGGTTTTCACATTTCAACTGTCAATATCTTATAGACTCAACTAGAGCAGTTTGTAGTCGCGCAGTGTTTAATTTAATTGTCAGGATTTATATATATAGGCATATTGTCTTGGTCTGATTCTCGAAGATTCATCCATTCTGCATTGACTCTAATTAACAAAACATTTCGACATAACTAGTCCATTGAAGGTAATAAACCCAGAGATGTTAGACGTCAGGAATGGACAAATGGTCAGATGTATGATAAAGATCGAAACTTACTGGTCATTAACGCCCAGGTAAAATAGAGGTAAGAAATTCTCAAGAATCCGACATTCTGTAAAATAGGATTGATAGCCTAGATTGCATAGCTTATGTACAATTAACAGTTGTTACAGAAAAATCAGTGAAACAACTACTCTACTTATTGGATGGTTTTGAAGTCCTGTATGGACAAATAGATAAGAGTGAAACAACAAACGTTACCTGTAGTAAAGCATATGCTAGTTGAGGATTTTGGAGTAACATATTGCGTGCTTCATTAGGATTGTTTTGTATACAAAGTTTCATCTGCTTCATTAGTTCATACATTTGTTCAGGTGGTAAGCTAGCAACTGCTCGACTAATAGCTTCTGGTGCAGCTTGCGGGTCAATATTATCTCCATATGGGCTTTCAAGTGGTGGACCAACTGATGGGTTACTTAGGGCCAGTTCAGCAGAATTTTGTTCTCCAGCAGCTGGTCCGATACGGAGCGGACGACCATTGAATTCAATATTTTGAAGATTCCGCAAAGCACTCGCAGCAATGGCTGGGTTATTGTATTCACAAAATCCATAGCCTTTGGGTTTCCCAGATTCTCTATCATATACCAAACGAAAACCGATTACAGGACCAGCCTATGAAATAATGAAGTAGGATGAGAATTATTACCTTGCTAAATAGTTCGATAAGCTTTTCCTCAGTCGCTTCATACGGTATGTTACCTACGAAGATAGATCGCGCGGTCTTTTCAGCAGCCTCCTTGGTTAACACGGGTGCCGCCATCAAAGCCAAGATTCTGGAAAGATTTTAATTGATATGCAGTACGATTTATTAACAAGAAAATGTCTATATAATAAGAACCTGGAAAAAGAATGACAGAAGTTACTTTAAAGGCATGCGACAAAACTGGAAAAAGTAACTAGAAACTGGTTAGCCAAGCGGGAATTCGCGTCTTACGCCGTAAGTCCTAACTCCTACAAGTGGACTAATTACTATTATTCAGTCAAATTAGATTAAGTACATTAAGGTTACAAGGAGGAACCTAACAACTAGTAACAAAAGGAATCAAAACGAAACGACACTTATGTTCATCAAGTTATGGAGTAACTAACTTCACTTAAGCTTGAAGTACATAAGACACAAAACCTGGATTTCGTAATACTACAAGAAGTCTAGCAAGATTTAGGAAACTACGGGAATTTGACCAGCGATTTTCCTTTACACTACTGTGAATCAGGCGATCATTTGAAGACGCATGTCGTTGAATAGCACATAGAAGAAGAAGTAGACGAGTTTCACGATTGTTTTCTCTCTCCACCTTTTAACCAAGTACTACCAGACGTTACGGATTTTTGTACATAAATACAACCTACATAGCGTAAAAAAGAGTCAAGAAGTTGCCACATACTCTACGACTGCAGAATAGAGAAGCAAACAAGATATCCCAGAAAAATATCAATAAAGAGAGAAACTAAAGTGACAAGACGTTTAGTACTCAAAGGGAGAGAAATAGGGGATACACTACCAATAATGCTGTGCTATATCACTCATATTGTATAACCACATATTCATTGTGTAGAATATCTCACTTAAGAAACATACATCTCAACAGTTTGATGAGGGATGTTTGGAATTTACCCCTCATTAAGAGTCACAAATTGTTCGCCAGAGATAATCATGCACTTAAACATATCAAACAGCATGTAGTGAGTTAATGAGTGGACGATGGACTTGTTGGTTATTCTCTTCAAAACATAAAGATCGTGTTAACATTTCGTATTACATATAACACTACCTACTGAGATCCACTTTTCTTTTCTCTAGGATAAATAATTTCAGCCCAATTACAATGTGTTCTAAACCATGAATAGATAAACTCTGGTTGCAAATTTGATGTTTATACCAGGCGCTTAACTACTAGGGCAACTGATCCAGCAACCATAATCGGACTCTTCATAGAAGTAATTGCCGAAAGGGTCAACACAAGTCACTAACTACACGTAACATATCAATTAGATACAGTACCGGAATGATACATTTGACTTACGACGTGACTAGTGGATGTGATGAGGGACTGGGTAGAAAGTCAGATGAAGAACCAGTCCTAACCGCCGCACATCTACATTAAACGTCGTTTGTCGTGGTTTAATCAGCTCGAGTGATTACCAGTATTGACTTTAATAGAAGATACAGGAATTGTGTTACTTTATCACTATTTCTACAGAAAGGATCAATTATAATGGTACATGAAGTTACAATAGAGAAGGCCTATTCATAGTGTTAAAGTCAAGTGCTTTCGGATGATGGTTATAAAATCCGAGCCAAAAACCCTAAGAAGGACACTAATAGATCATTGACTTTTATTCCTGATAGGTATAGCAACTCAGATAAATGCACGTATGTCCTAGGTCCTACTTTATACATAATCAACTCGTGACCACTCCATTAATCAAAAAGTGGCAAGTTTAGTTGTTAAAATGACATACCAATGTATAATACCATTACTAGTAGTGACTGGCACGTCATGAAATTAGTTTAGGTTTGTAAAGCTGCAGGTGGACACAAAACACAAATCTCACTCAGAAAAACCGTGGGCCGGAGCTGGATAAATTTAGAAGTGGGGCTAAATGTTGCACAGATCTATGTTTTTGCTAACTTGGAGTGACAATAAACACAAAAAGAGTAGGATAAAAGGTTCAGCGTGAAATACTGAAAACTTTAAAAATATGTGATCTAGTAATCTTTGAAAAGTAGGGTTAGATTTTGGACACAAACATGTTTTTCGTTCAGCATTTTTATGTTAAACACAATCTATAGACTGTGCCTACAGTCTTGCAAAACAGATGACTGGGTTGATTAGTGTGTAGCATCCTGGAAAATACAGACAGTTCCTAGATGCGAGGATTACACCCAATGTGAGGAAACCCTCATTCATGTCAACCAAATCTAAACTGAAAATACAAGAGAAAAAGCCTTGCAACCAACGTCAAGTGCGCTGAACGTCGAAGCAGCAGGTAAATATCTAACTTAAAAAGTTGAGCCTTTTCAACCTTCAAACTTTGCCTGGCAGAATAAAATGTTTCCTTGTGATCTGTGTCTGAGTAATCGAAGTGTTTTCTGCTACGAAAATGTGTTACTCCTGTCATATTTCTTCCGGGGACTGAAGGGCAAAATAATCAAGTCATGAATATAGGTCGTCAAAGAGTGACACCGGAGACAGTCATTCGCAGTGCTAACAGAACTTCAGTCTCCGGTCTTCAGCAAGAAGGATAATAGATAGTTTAACCTGTGTTAGTCCTTTTGACTTGTTTCTCATTGAATATTAATCTTCTCCTTGAAAGTGGTCACTCCTAGAGCTCATACTGTGGAGATATGACTGACAAGCTTATTTTGTAAATAGTTTTTATTATTATTCGTATTTATTTTGTCAACCTCTATGAGCCCCTCTCTGGACATTCAGCAGCAAATAGCACACTTAACTCAGCGAGTAGCATCGTTGCAGGCGACCATTGCCACGATCCACTCTCGTCCTGCCAGATCGATCTCGAGAAAGCGATCAATGTCCAGACTTCGCCCTAGGTCACCCAAACGGGCAGCAAACACTCGCTGGTATCATGCGACTTTCGGGGAGAAGGCATGTCGTTGCACTAAACAGTGAAACTTTAAAACAAGCAGTCCAAACTAACAGGGAAACGAAGTGGCCAGACAGTAATGGCGGCGGCTGTTACTGGCCAACATGTTAGCCGTCTCTTTCACGTCAGGGATCGCATTTCTGGCTCAGACTTTTTGGTCGACACTGGAGTAGAAATCAGCATCATCTCACTCCACCTCTCACGCAGACAACGAACGACAAGCACTAAACTGTCCTTAGTAGCGGCTAACGATTCAATTATCAAAACATACGGAGAGCAATCACTGATATTAGACCTCGAACTCCGCAAACGATTTACATGGGTTTTCATAGTAGCTCACGTCAAACAACCCATCATCAGAGCCGATTTTCTGAGCGCGTACAACTTGCTAGTAGATGTGAATAATAAGAAATTAATTGATACAAACACACGTCTACAGGTAGATGGCACAACTTACAACGATTACGAAATTCATGGAGTACGAATAACGAAGCCCGTGAACAACATCTTCAACAACATCTTAACAGAATATGAATGCATCACGAAATCCGATTATTACAAGGAAAGCAACCCACAACAGGTGCAGCACAACATCACCACCAATTGTCCCCGATTTGCACCAGGGCGAGGAGACTTCCCCCAAGCAAGTTGCAAGCGGCTAAAAGAGAATTTGAACATATGATGCAACTTGGTATCATCAGACCATCTAACAGTCCTTGGGCCTCGCCACTCCATATGGTGCCAAAGAAGGATCAAGACTGGCGTCCATGCGGTGACTATCGCCGACTAAACAACCAAACTATTCCTGATAAGTATCCCATTCCGCATCTGTACCATTTTTCGTTAAATCTACACGGCAAATGCATCTTTTCGAAACTTGACCTAGTACGAGCATACCACCAAATTCCAATGGCACCGGAAGACGTTGAAAAACGGCCATAATCACAACTTTTGGTTTGTTTGAGTTCCTAAGGATACCATTTGGACTGAAAAATGCTGCTCAAACATTTAAACGCTTCATGAATAACGTTACAAGAGGTCTAGATTTCGTGTTTGTTTACATAGACGATGTTTTAATTGCAAGTGCATCATTAGAAGAACACGTCCAACAAGTACAGATCCTCTTCGATCGCTTTAAAAAAACATGATGTTGTCATTAATCCGTCGAAATGCATATTCGCAGTTCCAGCCTTAGAGTTTCT